CTTGTTGGTCCCGACTAAGTCCCCCGGCTTGAGTTCCTTGACGTCCACCAAACCAGGGATCGGTAGAAAGATCGTCTGCCGCGTCGACGTCTTGATTACCGCCGAGACGCCCTTCCGCTGGGAGTCGATGTCCGCAGCCGCCCCGTCCTCCTCCTCTTCCTCTTCCTCTTCCATGTCGAGGACCTCCACCACGTTCCCTACCAGGTACGGAAGCTGTTTGTTTAGCTTAATTTTGTCCAAATTCTCCTTTATACGCTTACGTTGGCCCTCTGAATCGGCGTCGATACTTGTGATGTCGGACTTCATGATGCGGATCTCGTTGTCAAGCAAGCGGATCCGCTGGCGAATTTCCTCAGAGGACATCTGCGTGAATCCAAGAGGAAAATGTCACAGGGAACAAAAGGGGTCAAGGCGCGTTTAAGAATAATGTGGAAAGGAGAAAGGAGACCCCACCATTACTCCGATACACCGTATCTGCGGGTAACACTCTAAGTACATATTGCTGACTCTTCTCCCCAACTGCACCCAATATCGCGTTAGCAGACACATGGGAAGGTCTCCGGGATAAATTAGCCCCACAATGCTTCCAAGACTTCCGACAGGCTTATACGTGCCAGCATCCCATGCTCGGACGCTCACCTGCATTATCTCGGCATCAAGCGCTTCTTCCGCTGCCGTCGCTGCAGCATCTGCTGCTGCTATTGCCTCATTCGAGGTTACATCCATGGCTATCCGTAATGATGCTGCTGGATGCTCTGTTCATCACGTGTGATGGGATAAGCACATCAGTGGGGTGATAGGATGATGACGGGTGCGTGCTCAGATGGCTTGGTCCGCGAGTTGAGTGACCTGATAGCCCGCCACGCGACAAAAGTGTCTGTCGAAAATGTTTGCTCTCAGGCGGCTTGAACACAGGCCCAGGACGAAGCAAAGGCATGCTGTGGTGGTACTTGCCGTTCCTCGACTTCTTTTCGTTTCCTCAGGAGCGACTCGCCAGCACCTCGCCAACTTCCCCGGCAGGAGAGATTGCTCCTTCTTGACCTCACGAGACTCACCAGATAGTTCAAGAGCCCCCCAGGGGAGGAGTGGGTGCATGAGCTTCATTGAAGTGTCCATGGTAGCTGAGGCGATTCTACATGCATTGTGAAACCTCTCACCACCACCCCGTGACAAAACACAGCGGCGTCCACTCTCGCCCCTCGTAGTCCGCATCGAAGTGCCCTCTGTCAAGGTCAGCAATCCCACCACCACGATGAGCTCGTTGTCGCTCTCGGCAACGCATCTCTCAAACCCTCACATCAAGATGATGATCGGTCCCCAGCCTACTACAGTCCGAGGCGCAGCGACTCATCTGGGCAAGCATCCTACCCAGCCCAAGGTTATTTACCCATCCGGGAAGTACGTTGTTGTACGCGATTTGGAGCAATCATGTGATTTCTATGTTTATCGTGGGCACAACTCGAAGGTTACCGTGGCCAAGGTACACACACGGGGGGTCTGAAACGTTTACAGGGGGGGATTGGACGAGTATGCGCACTTCGGGGAGGTAGACGGTTTCATGGCCACCTTGCCGTGCACGCCATGTAAATGGGCCGATGACGTGACACGTTCAACACAAACAATTTGATATGATCTCGTTGGATAGGCGTCGCTTTAAGCATTGACGGCACGTGCCCACCGTACTCGCACAAGCACAGTTTTCACCCAATGGGTGCTGGGTGGCCTCCGGAGATGCCTCGGGCAAGGTCCGGATTTGGTCCTACGACAACCCCGAGCACGTGCTGAAGCTGGAGGTGCAAGGGGTTGGGGGTGGGGAGGTCAAGGACTTGGACTGGGACCCTGAGAGCCAGCGCGTCGTAGCAGTGGGGGAAGGGCAGGGGACGAACGCCAAGGTCTTCATGCGGGACACGGGCACCTCCTTGGGCGAGTTGAACGGGCATGGGAAGCGGGTGATATCCACGGCGTACCGACCCTGCCGTCCGTTTCGATTAGTGACGGCCAGCGAGGACACGCGCACTGTCTTTTACCATGGCCCCCCCTTCCGGCTCGAGCACAGCAATGCGGAGCACACCAACTGGGTGAACACGGTCCGCTTCAGCCCGGACGGGGCCCTCTTCGCCACCGCCTCCTCCGATCGAAGGGTCGTGCTGTACGCAGGAGCGACGGGCCACCCGGTGGGCGACTTGGACAAGGACGGGCGATGCCCCCACGCCGGCTCGGTCTACTCCTTGGCCTTTAACCCGGACGGCTCCCGCCTCGCGACCGCGTCGGCGGACAAAACAATCAAGGTGTGGGCCACGGGCAGCCGGGAGATGGAAATGGAGCTGCCCTTCTCGCGGGAGAACGAGCTCGGCGAGATGCAGACAGGCGTCCTCTGGCTGGGCCCTTCGGCCTTGCTCTCCCTCTCCCTCAGCGGGGACCTGAACGTGTTCGACGTGAGCCCCGGACAGGCTGCTCGGAGGAACACGCTGCAGGGGCACCAAGTGAGCGTGACCTCGCTGGCGGTGGACCGGGACGGGGGGGCCTTCTACACGGCCTCCTACGACGGCGTGGTCCTGGCGTGGGAGGCGCGCACGGGGTCCGCCCGCCGCCTGGGGGGCCCTGTGCCGCGGACGGTCAACTCGGCCAACCACACCGGGAAGGTCACGGGCCTGGCACTGGTTCGGGGCGGGCGGCGGCTCCGGAGCGTCGGCTTCGACGACAGGTTGCGGACGGCCAGGCTGGAGGTGGCGGGGCAGGGGGGCCCGACGGGGACCTACGAGGGAGATGCGGAGGTGGTGCTGCCCGGACAGCCCGTGACGATCGCGCGGGCGGGTGGGGCCAGCGACTTGGTCACGGTCATCTGCCAGCCTGCGGTCCTGGTAGTGTACAGGGACGGGGCACTCGCGTTGACGATTGAGAAGTTGCCGTGCACGCCGTCCGCGCTGGCCATGTTTGGAGAGGACGAGGTGGCCGTGGGCGGCGAAGATTGTAAAGTCTACGTGTACGCGCTGGGGGAGGCGGAAAACGCGTCGAAGGGCGCGAAGGCGGTGCTCGGAGGGCCCCGGGGCGCAGTCTCGGCCTTGGCGTACAGCCCAGGGGGGGGGTACTTGGCAGTGGGCGACAGCAACCGGGAAATAACTATATTTGAGAGATCGACCGTGGACTTGGAGAAGGGAAGAGAGGAATGGGACAGGAAGGTATCGGGAGAATGGGTGCACCACACCTCTCGGATCACGGCACTGGCCTGGTCCCCCTCGGGGCGCTACCTCGCAAGCGGGTCCTCCGATACCCACATAATGGTCTGGAGCCTCGACGGCTCCTTTCCTCGTAGCCGAGTAGCCACGTTCGAATCCGCGCACAAGGATGGCGTGACCGTGCTGGACTGGTTGACCGAAAGCGACCTGATATCGTCGGGAAATGACGCGGTGATTTGTGTTTGGGATGTGGCTAGCGCCACGCGGGCATGATGTACGGTCAAGTATCGAACAAAACAACAAATAAACATCTTTCTTTGGACCGATGAAATGAGTAGCACTTAGGTCACGTCGATGGTCTTAATTCTTTCACCTTCTCGATCTTGCACCTATGAATTGTTTATATGTTATCTATTATGGAAACAAATGTAAAACTGACTGGTATCGACCGAAGGACTGCTGCGTGAATGGGTACATTCTATATATATTTATTTTCATCAATAAATAACGAAGATAATTACAAAAACATAGTATGGAATTTAAAAAAAATGTTTTCAATTGGGTCGTCCACCTCCCCGCCGTGCGAGACCCGGGTCGTTACATGGGCCCTCGGGCGATGACCGAGGCCCTCCTGCACACAGGCGTTTTGATGACGGTTGTAGAATACCTGGACACACTACTTAAGATATTTTGGAGATGTTTGTATTTATGAGTTCGTTGTATATAACCAATCCTTTGTTTTTGGACATGGGAAATGCTGGTATGGCGAACGAGGACACCGCCCCCCCCCGGCGATGCCCGACGTGTGATGACCTAAAAAGTAAGGCACTAAACTTTTGCTTTGATCCGGAATGTCTCAGTACCATACATCCCACCATACTATACTCAAATATTTTAGGCAGGCCCCTTTCAATCGTAATTTGTGTAGTTGGAGGGCCTTAATCCCTCTAACCTCAAGCATATTAAACTGGCGTCTCCGGGAAGAATAGGAGAAGAAGCGGCGCAGTCTCCGTGCAAGACCCAGGAGTTACACACCGGAGAACAATTATCTGAGCAGCGGGCAGCTTTAGCACAGGATTCCCCCATGCTGCGGCTCGAGTGTGCCATTCAGACATATGATTGGGGCAAGCCAGGATTAGAGAGCGCCGTGGCGCAGCTCAAGCAAGAAGGCGATGACCATTTCGAAGCGCAGCAAGACACACGATACGCCGAGCTTTGGATGGGAACGCATCCAAGCGGACCTTCGACAGTTATTGTACCCGCGGGTCCCAAGAAAATCCTCTTGAAAGATTACCTGGACGCCCATCCCGAGGCCACGGGGAGCGCGTCTGTGGCAGGTGGGGACCTCCCCTTTATGTTCAAGGTCCTCTCTATCGCGAAAGCCTTGTCCATTCAAGCTCACCCCGACAAGCGCCGTGCGGAAGAGCTGCACGCGACCCGGCCGCAAGTGTACAAGGACGCGAACCACAAGCCGGAGATGGCCATCTCCCTGACGCCCTTTGAGGCCCTCTGCGGCTTCAGGCCCCTGGCCGAGCTCTTGTCGCATTTCTCCTCCTTCCCGGAATTCAAGGCCTTGGTGGACTCTGACTTGCTCACCGCCCTGGCCAAGGTTGCGGAAGGGAGTGGGAAAGAAGTGGAGGCGAAGGAGGCGCTGAGGAAGGTATTCTCGTCGTACATGGAGGCCCCAGAGGAGCGGGCGATGGCCGAGCTCTCAGCCTTGGTGGCGCGCTTGGAGCGGAAGCAGGAGATAGAGAGGGATGCAGGAGAGGCGCACGATCCGCTTGAGAGCCTCATTTTGCGGCTGAAGGCGCATTACCCGGGGGACCGGGGCGTCCTGTGTCCGCTCTTCCTCAACTACGTCCGGCTGGGGCCCGGGAAGGCCTTCGTGATGGAGGCGAACGAGCCGCACGCTTACCTCTCGGGCGACATCTTGGAGTGTATGGCCTGCTCGGACAATGTCGTGCGGGTGGGGTTGACGCCCAAGTACCGCGATGTGCCCACGCTCCTGGAGATGCTGACGTGCGCGTCGGGGGCCATGGCCGTGACGGAGGGGGAGGTGCTCGCCAAGCAAGAGGGTCAGGAGCACCGTCTCTTCAGTCCCGGGGCGAGCATACCAGAGTTTGAGGTGGAGACCATCAAGCTGGAGAAGACGACAGGGGGGTGCTCGGCTCCGTTCGCGTGGAAGGGCGTGGATGGGCCTTCCCTCTTGGTGGTGCTGGAGGGGGCGGGGGAGGCGGAGGAGGTGAGAGGGTCGACAGCAAGGCTGTCTGCGCGGCGGAAGACCGAGTTGTCGGAGCGTGCGCTTTCCCTCCACAAGGGACAGGTTTTCTTGGTGCCTGCCAACACCGGTTTGGCCTTTACGAGCTCACGAACAAGCCAGCGGCTCTACGTCGCGCTTGCGCATGCAAATTTTCATGGCTGCCCCGCTGTATAGGCGGTGACGCACACCGATTGATCAGAGCATTGGCGCGATGAATAGGGGTGACATGGGAAGGGGGCCTGTAGTTTAGAAGGAGAGGGGGAGTCTCTGGGAGATGATCCTTTACAGCATGAATATAATGTAACACTTGTGGCGGGGTCAAAGCGCGGGGAGCGGGGGAACCGAAAGAGCCACACAGGGCGTATACATGGTAACGCGGACTCTCAACAAAGAAGATGTGGGATGGCACTGCCGACCAGAAACTGAGAGATCGCCTTCCAAACAATAAAAAGGCTCGAGCGAGAGAAAAGTCGCGTGTTTTAAAACGGGGTAAAGAATTATCCGGGCATGTAGAATGACGCGAAGATCGCTTGAGGTCTCAAACATGTGTTTTTATCGACCGGGAAAACGCTTTGTCTGATTCTTTCATTACTCCGCTGTCAAGCTCACGGCACTGGTGTCTGCCGGGCGCTTCTTGCGCTTCTTCCCCCCCTTGCTCCCATGTCCTCCTCGCTGCTTTTGCTTTTTCAGCGACCAATCCGAGAGCGGCGCCGGGAAGAAGTAGTGACCAAAATAGACAGTGAGGGTCTTGAGTTTGTAGTTCAATATGTTTTCCTCCACCTCACAGGGTCTGCCACCTGCAGCCTCTGCCAACTCCCGCAAGTCCATGTTGCGCGGGAGGAGCGCTGCCACGTTGGGCGAGGCCGACAGCACTCTCTCAAAGAGCTCATGACCGGAGACACCCCCCTCCAAGCGGATTTGTTTCAAAGAGTATGTCGGCGAAGCGAGGTATTCAGGCCCCCCCCACGGGGGGGATAAGAACAAGACGTCAGCCACGGTTCCCAGTCGCGGCAGCAGGGTGAGCGCATCGCCCAGGATGAAGTCGATGCGGTCGTCCACCCCGTACACACGGGCGTTATGTCGGGCAATCGCCAACTTGTGTGGATCGATGTCTATAGCCAGCACGTAGTGCGAGGACAGGGCAAATTGAATTGCGTTCCCACCGCAGCCTACGAAGAGATCCACCACCAGGTCGGAGCGCGCCCGCTCGGCGATATGACGAGCTATGCGCTCAGGCGTGATGGAAAACCAGCCTTCATCGTCCAACCGGCAGCCCAGGTCGAACTGACTGAAGAACCTGAAGCGCTGCATCCAGTATTTGGGGGGGGGCGCTCTCACCGAGGTGCTGGCCGCGCCGGAGGGAAGAGATGACTGAGGCGGCATCTCGCACGCTTCTGGTTCTTCGTCCTTCCCATCGGCGGAAAAAAATAAAGAGCACGGACCGTCTGTCGTGATGCGCCTCCCGTCCTCGTCAAATCGGACGTGCTTGTTCGAGAGCGCCCCCCCCACTGCGCCGTCCCTTCCTTCCACCCTGCCGTTTTCCTCACTTCCACTCAGGTCCACGCGAGACTGCTTCTTGCTCTTTCTACGATTCATTCGCATCTTAGCTGTTGAGCCAAATGCCAGAGGGGCTTTCCAGCCCATAGTTTCCAAAGTAAGCGCCATTTCCGCAGTTTCCTCTCGCACTGCTGCCTGCAGCTGATCATCGCTCTCGTGTACGTCTTCCCCTACCCTTTCAGCTCTCGCATCCCTTTTCCTCTCATTGGCCCCACTTTGAGGACTTTCGCGTGATTGCACAACTTTGTCGACTATCTGCGCAAGCAAGTTGTTGACCCACACTCGAACCCGAAACCCCCTCAGCAGCTCTTTGTCATCCAAGTAGATTCTGTTCAGGGTTTGATGAAACACAGCAAATGAGCCCGACGTCAAGACGTTTCTCCTCGCACCAATCACTTAATTTTACAGCTTACTTTGTGAAAGACATATTTACATTATGTGCGCATATGTCGGCCTTGAGTCGCTCCAGCTCTATTGCCCTCAGCTCCCCCTCCTTCTGAGAAACAGGCTCTTGTTCATCTTCCTCAATGTCTCCAGTAGTGCCGGCAAGTCCATCCCCGGGACCAATTGAATGATTTTTTGCTGATGATGTCATAAAGCTCGCTTCTCCTGTATCCGGTCATTTGTTGAGGCCAAAAAGGGTAAAAGTGGTGAATGGGGAACCTCCCCCCCCCTCTCGCCTGCCCCCTTCCTCGGTTTGTTTCCTTGCATTTTTCGTCCCCGAATCCAATGTGTGACAAATTATGAAGGCCACACAAATATACATAGAATAGATGGATAGAAAGGATCACAAATGTTTTTATCAGTTATGTTCTGACTGGTTGGGTACATCGACCTGCGCTGGTTGGTGAAACGGGTCCCGGGCGCAGGCCGGCCCATGCTAATCAAACTCATGACTAACAAACGATAAAACGATCAAAAATGTTTTTTCGTTGCTTTCTTAATGTATTCGATTTGTACAAGTATCATATTCAAGGCATCTTCCCCTCAATAGCATGTCTTTCCACTCCATTGCCGCAGTCGACCGCTTCACAGTCATTAGAGTTTGCTTTCACTTCTTCACATCCCTGCATTTTCCGGCCATCCACCGCCTGTTGTTCGCTATTGTCATCACAAAAATTCGCGTTATTACCGCTTTTTTCTTTTGGTGCGGCTACTGCCATGCCTTGATCGGCCAGTCGTCCATGGATATACTTTGCTGGATCGGACTGTGGGATGTCCTGAGCTACACTAGAGGGTGGCAACTTCTTCAGCGCAGGGACCTCATTGTGTTGCTGCGGCACTTGATGTTCCGATGCGCTAATACTTTGTATCGGCTGTGAACCAATGGTCTCCTCCTGCACCATCGGCAGACTCTGTCCCGCATTTCCACCATGTCCTTGCTCCAAACTGATAGCCTTCCCCTCCTCTTGCGCTGGGACCTGCAACTTTTGTTTCTCTTTGAGCTCCGACTCTTCCTTCCCTGCCAGCCGCGGGGACATCCCCCGTGTCGCCTCCAGCACCGTAGTCTCACTCTGTCTTGACGCAGTCTTTGGGCCGTAATGCTTGCTGAGGGCGCCCTCCATCTCCATATAACCACTGGTGACGTTCTGCATGCTCTCTTGGACGCTACGAGTCACGGCCTCGAGCTCCGAGGCCTGTCGATTCAGATCCTCAAGATAAGAGGAGCCCAGTATCATCTTCGAGCGAGCATTTTCCGCTTTCAGCAGAAGGTCTCGGTTCTTCTGCGTCAGGGCGCAGAGTCGGCCTTGGTGCTCGTCCAGACGCTGCTCCAAAACGAGCACTTCCATCGACCCTAACAAACGAGGATCCTGTCGCAGTCTGTCGAACAACTCCTGAATCGCGCAATGGACACTCCTGCGCCGCTCCAGAAGAGCTCGTAGTTCAAGCGGGGGAAAGGGCTTTCCGGCATAGTTTTCATGTGAGACCAATTTGGAGACATGCTCTTGAACTCGTGCCAACGCGCGTATCTTTCGTTGTAAACGCTGTTTTTCAATGACCAGGGCCTGAGACATCAATTTCATCCGCTTGCCAATGATGGCCAACAGCTGACGCTCCTGTCCGCTGGTGTACGCTTTGCGACGCGCCTCCGGCGTGGTTGCCTCGTACCGAGAGGAGTTCTCATTCATGGCTGATCGTTCCCTCGTTCCCGTGTGTGCCTCCGCCTCATTCCCTCCCTCGGGAGCTGGCACTTTCCGCATCGCATGTTCGCCTTCCTCCTCCATGCCCCCGGTGGAGATTGCAGGCGCCGGCCCCTGCGAGTGGGACAGGTGGACGAGTGCGCGCGGGGGGACGGATGCAATAAAATCTTCATCCTGCAAGAAGGCAGTCCAACGCCCATAACCATGTCGCAACGTCAGCTCCAGAAGCAACAGGTCCTGGGCCCGGCCCCACGTGAGCTTGAAGGCCTTCGTGGTGATCACGCAGGCCTTGCACCAAGCTGTCTGCCTCCCGTCGTCGATAAAGAAGCTCTCCGGATCCTGCGCCTCGAATTCCCGGACTTTCTCGTCGATCAAGCCCATCACGGCCACACGCTGCAACAGGTCTGACTCTACCGCACACAAGGCTCGTACACTTCCCTCCCGCGTACTGCCGCCCGCCAGAAGACATCGAAGGTAATGCCGCACCTCCTCTGCGCTACGTTCCGCCAGCCTTCCCGCCGCGTGCGTCGACAGATCCTCGTAAAAGGATTTAAAGTCTCCGCACTTAGTCAAGCCGAAGCGCATCAGGTAACCGCGGATAGCTCGGCGTTGGGACTCGCCAAAGCCTGGGACGAGAACGCGCGCGGGACCCGCTTGACTGGTGGCCGCGGCCGTCGACTGCCGGCGACTGCGCACATCGTACTCCGCGTCCTCGTCCTTCTCGTCGCTCTCGTACTCATAGTCCTCTTCCCCTTGCTCCTCCTCCTCCTCGCCTCCGTCATCAGACCCTGACAGGAACTCCGACAGCGGCCCCTGGTAAGTACCCGCAGGACGCACGACCTCTCTCCGCTCCCGCTTCCCCTTGCCCAGTCGCGCGACCTCCTCCGCCTTGAGGCTTTCCTGCCGACTACCCAGCAGCTCCACCCAGGATTTCTCCGTGTTGTCTGGCAAGGCGTCTCGCAGCAAAGCCGCCTCGCGTTCCCTTCGGAGCTCCTCGACTT